GGGCTTCCGGCTCAGAGGCGGAGGCGAGGGGTGCGGGAGGGGCCCGAGGGCGGGGCCGGGGTGGGGTGGACTGAGTGCTGGTGGCAGTGGTGGCTGGTACATTTGAGGTCTTCTGACCGAGTCGGCTGGGGTTCTGGGACTGGGCCAAGCTGCCCTGGGATGGGGGCACAAAGATGCTCCTCTTTCCTCCCAGTCGCCGGGACAGAGGCGATGGCCTGGTCCTCTTCTCCCTGTAACCTCTAGGTGGAGCCGGGCCGGGAGCTCGGGTCTCTTTCCGGAGGGTCGTGTAACGGGAAGACCTGGGGCTGAGAGTCTGGACTCTGGGATCCCTTTGGTGGGAATGGGGGGTGGGGAAGGCCTGGCTCTCAGAGGTCCCCAAACGCAGGTTCTCCTGCCCTCCTTGGGCATCGCTCAACCCTTCTCTGGTTCCCATATCTGAGGATCAACCCCCTCCGCCCCCCAACTTCCAGCGGTGATTTTGCAGCCCTGACCATCTTGCTGGAGAGTGGAGTTGTAGGGACCTGCAGAGAATGGCTTTAGTTATGCCGTGAGCCCTCCTTTTACACCGGAAAACAGAGGCACAGAGAGAGGAAGTGACTGGTACATTCCAGCCTCCAACACGTCCTTCNCTGCCCTCCTTGGGCATCGCTCAACCCTTCTCTGGTTCCCATATCTGAGGATCAACCCCCTTCGCCCCCCGACTTCCAGCGGTGATTTTGCAGCCCTGACCATCTTGCTGGAGAGTGGAGTTGTAGGGACCTGCAGAGAATGGCTTTAGTTATACCGTGAGCCCTCCTTTTACACTGGAAAACAGAGGCACAGAGAGAGGAAGTGACTGGTACATTCCAGCCTCCAACACGTCCTTCCCCCCTTCCTCTCGCTCAGCTCTTCTGGTCAACCCTGCCCCGTGCCACAGCAGGGGGAATTAAGTGCGTTTGGGATCAATGGTGACCTCTTTTGGCTCTGGCTGCCATAGCAGCAGTTTTGCCAGTTGACCAAGCTCTCCTTTTACTGCCTTCTGCCTGCCCTCAGGCTCCCAGGCCACTTCCAGCCCTGCGTGGAAAAGGACAGTCAGGGGCCCCAGGGCTAAGGGGGAAGGAGATGGGGGCAACTTTTCCCTCATGCCTGGACCTGGGTTCCTTTATGTAAAGGGATGAAGAAAATCAAGCTTGAGGATCTGAGAAAGTGGGTGTATGCGGCAACCTCTTGCAGACACTACATGGTTTTATTCCCTCAGTCTGCAGAACTGTGCAGCGTTGCACCCCATGCCTGAGGAAAATCAGATTCTACCTGCAGGAGACCAAAGACCATGGGCAAATTCTTGTTACAACCCATTGCGGCGGGGGAGGTGGGCACAGTGAGGTCAGGTCTGTTTTGATATTCAGCGAGCACCGCCACTTTTGGGAATGAGCCTTGATATCCACTCTGGCCCATTTCCCCATCCAGCCCATGCTGGCCTTCTGATATTGCCTCTGCACCACATACACTTATTTGACACACTACATTATTTGCCTTGACTATCAGGCCCTACACTAATGGCTGGGAGGTATGGCAGAGATCAGGGTTCCTCTCTACTGGGAGAGAAAAGTATGTAAACAGATGAGAATGCCATGTGTTAAATGTGAGGGTAAATGCACAGAGGAGGAGCACCAAAACCAGGACAAAGAGGTAGTAGGACAGGCATTGTAGGCAGAGGACACAGTGTGCACAATGGCGCAGAGGCATGAAACGATGTAGTGTGTGTGTGTGTGTGTGTGTGTGTGTGTGTGTGTGT